TCATCTTGTAGTGGAGCACGGGTATTTTTTGTGGTTTTTAGTGGTGTTTTACGGTCGCGTAAACCTTGGCGATGTTCTTGTTGCTTCTGTGCTCGTGCCTTCAGATGTAACGGTTCAGGCGGGCGTATCGCGGTGAACTTGATAGGTTCTTTTTCAACTCGATGGCCAATGCGCGGGCCAAGTTTGTTGTTGGAAGGAGCAGTAGATACGGGAGTGGTGTTTTCATTCTTTGATCCTAAAGGTTTGCGATGCCTTGGAGTTAAAGTCGCCTTCGTTTTCTCTTTAGTTGCCTGCGAAGGCGAAGCATTTTCGCTGGAAACAGTGCGAATGAGTGGTGTCGAGGTTCGGTGGCTCATTGCATTAGCATGAACACGGTCGACGCTGCGTAGTATTTCAATCCAGTGAGTTTCGTAGTATCTGGATTGAAAGATAACTGGATTACGTGATGTTCAAGTACGTGAGATGTCTCTGTTGGAAATGGGGATAAGTATGAAAAGCGTGTTTGGTAGCGGGCGTTCAATACACGCGTGTTTGTGACGTGCTCAGAACCGTTCTCCAGGATACGGTTTTTTTTTTTTTAGGCAATACCTCAATGCCGAACGGTGGTTTTATTTAGCAAAACATAATGCACACTATACTTTTTGTTCATACTTTCTCCTTAATCCAGACGACGCATTCCCAACACTCATATATCATGATTGGAAGCTTTATTTAATTTAAATTTAAAATACTCGCTATGGCTGAGACTGGCGGTTGCTTACAACATACGTCTGCCAATCGTCACGGACCTCTTGCGATGTGCATTCTTCAAGCTTGTGAGAGTTGTCTTGCTCGTGCCAAGAGGGTGCGAGTAATTGCTGGCAGCACAAAGAGAAAGAGCGTCATGTGAAATGTTTAATTGCGGGATTTTCCAAGACTGGTCCACGAGCTGCACCAAAAGACCTGCTTCAACATGCCACTACAAAATGCCAATATCGTTTAGTTGGGTTTCATAGAAATAAGCATGCAATGAATATCATAAACGCGTGTTACCTCAATATGGCAATGGAGCGCCCATACTCCAGTATTGTCAGCTGCAGGGTGGCACGGGAGTGAATATATTGAAATTAGGAAAAAAGAAAAAAATCTAATGTGCTTACCCTTGTATCTGAATACAGTCCAACCGCCGCCAGGAACGGTCGAAGTATCTCGTCTCAATGGATTTTTGGTATTGAACTTTGGTCTATCGGTAGCATCATCGTAGGTTTCATTTCCCCATCCCAACACATAAAATGTGTGACCGTGCTACATGAAATGGACAAAATGGATAGGAGGTTAGATTGGGTGATCAAGCCAAAAAATTATCTAATGAAACTGTCTTCCTTACCAAGTGGAAAGGATGCTCGTTCAAGTCGTTGTCTAAAGTATGCGTCATTAAGCGTCAGTACTATCCAAAGCTTCACCATGTCATACACGTTTGGAAAAGCTTGAACTTGATCACTTACTGATGAGTACTACCTCAACGTAGCCAGAGGTATTTGGGCGAATCATAAGTTGATCCTGGCTCAAGTCAGGCCTCTTGTAGTATTCATTTATCATTGTAGGATAGCTGAAGTTCGCCACCCAGCTGACATTGTTAATGAATGCTACGAATAAAAGAAATGTTAGAGGCGTTGACAAAAAATTCGTGCGAAATCATAAACATAATGAACCTGGTACTTACCACGATTGATATTAGTGACTGGATCGCCATGGAAATCCCATGATAAGGTAATTTGCTCAGCGGCAGTAGGAGCAACTTGCGCATGGTATGGTCTCAATACAGTGTAATCAAGATCCTGGCAGTCGACCAACTGATCAGCCCAATCAACAGAAGAGTTGAAGGTGCTGGCACCACCCTTATAGATCACAGGAGCTAAAGCCAAACTTTCCTTTGCAATTACTTCTCCAAGATCCAGGCAAGCTGTATCCATCTGAGCACGCATATAGTACTTTTGTGCCTTCTGATTCGCCTGAACAATGACAGAGTATCGCTGTCCTACGTTAATTGGGATTCTGTGAACATATTGTGGGGTTAAGTCGGTACCATCAGCCTATTAATAAAATTAATGTTACATATATGACTTTTTGATTTGGTTTAATACACATGTATATGAAGAGAATGCACACCTCAACCACAGCCAAAGTGTGATTATCAATTGAAAACCAGAAATTAGCAAATGCGCTGCAATAAAATTTAAAATGCTCAATTTTTAGCTATGGTCTTTCAAAGCTGTACGAGATTAATATAATATTTCCATACCTTGTGTTGATCAGTCGAAGCTTGTAACGTTTTCCAGCAGTAAAAGAGAACGATTTGGTAGTATGGTTTGCATTACAGCTAGTACCTGGAGGAACATAGCCGGTACAACCATTTGATCCGGTACCTCCAATCAATGCATTATCAGGCGAAGGCTGTACGGTACAAGATTGTCTGAGTTACGATGCGAAATATTCTCAACCAAAGAAAGTTAGCGTTACCTCTTCTCCTTTGGATGCACGAGATAGATAATGCTCAAGTAAATCTTCAGATTGTGTATGATACCAATCACTGAGAGGGATAACAATTTCTTCGTCGTAGGGAAGTGGGCTAGTGGCACTGGGATCCTGTATGATTAAAGCACCAACCAAACCGTCAACGTATTGTGACATGTAGTGACTATGGTACCAGTAAGTTCCACTTTGACCGGCAGTGGAGAAGGAGTAGGTGTACTTTCCACCAGCTGGAATCGGGCATTGGGTCTAGTATGAAAGCGGGGTTAGTACGTGATTACATTACATCTGCAGTTTTTTTACAATGAATTCAAATGATTTTTACCACTCCAGGTGTACCCTATCATTTGAAAAAACTTGTTAATACTGAAAAAAAAAGGATACCTGGTTTAAAAAATACTTACATCTTGCCACGGTGTTCCACGTTGATACATTCCATGCCAGTGAAGAGCAGTAGGCACGGTCAAGTTATTGATTACGTTAACTTGAATAGTATCACCAGTATTCACAGTAATTGTGGGTCCAGGATATTGTCCGTTGATGACAAGACCATCTCTTGAAAACCCATCTACGACATTCAGTTAGTTTCGAATGACAACTCATCATAACAATATTGATCTACTTCGTACCAGGTGCGATTGTCTTCGAGCTGATGGTAAAGTTGTATACCTTGGTGGCGGCATTTACACCATGCCAACCAAGACCAGCCGCAAAGGCCATAACCCAAGTAAGTTTCATTGAAGGAAAGGTGAGGAAATGAAAGATCAGATAGGGAGCGGGAGGAGTGTATATTGTAAGAAAAGGAACCTTTGAGTGCTCGCAATATAAATAATGAAAATGCGAATGATAAGACCGTCTGTTACATTCATCACTTTTTTGACCCGAGGAATCATGGCCTTGTGCGTTTAATCATAGTCCATAATAAGATGAAATGAACTAAACAGTATAAACTTTCGATCGACCAATATTAACGAAAGTCTTTAAATGGCCCTTTCTGCCTAAATTAATGAGGGTTCCACAACTGACTCGAATGGTTACACCCCCATCTGCAGCTCTCGGTAGCCAATTTGTGTGGACATGGTTCGCTTCAGAGGTCAGTACCACGTCCTTTGTGTATGCTATTCCTTTTATTGACATTGTACCGTTGTACCCGGATCCCACCATGATACACCACATTGCATATCGCGGCCGAATGAATACCCTACGTATGATCATCCGGTCAGAAAAGAGACAAAAGATCTTCCTTATCAAACAGCATATGCAGTGCAATAAAGGGTACATGAGAAATCAAGATATCACACGTTTCCACATTGCTTTCATTTCTTTATTTCGTTGACGATCGTTTTGTTTAATATAACATAGAATAATGTTTCTCAGCCGATACCTTTACGAAAAATTTCTTCATATGTCATATACTCAACTGCAAGCATCATTATAGATTTTTTCGATTGCCAGTGAAATGTTTCGTTTCTCCAGCAGGATTGTGGAACATTGTGTTGCATCATCACTATCGCTTTGCGATTGGGTTCAGATATTTAGGAAACTCCTAAATCCACATTAAGGTTGGCCTATGGGTTTGAAAATGCTTCCAAATTAAACATAGCACAGCTTGCGCTATTATCCAACCACCATCTCCGTTGCAGTTAGTAAAAACAAAAAAACGAGAGCAGCTCATATTTTTTAGAGACAGCGCTGATACGTGTTTACCTAGAATAAACGCGAGGTATCAATATCTGTATGTTACGACAGTCTATTACTGGACCACTTCTTGCAACCAGTACAGCTAAGTGATAGTTATCAGATCTGATTTTTGGTGTCAATGATCAGGAGCATGTACCTGCATTAGTTTTTTCCCACTCTCCCGTGGTATATTTTGGAATGTGCTGAAAAAGTGTTGTCTTTAATAAGAGCCAAATACCATTTGAGTAATGCGTGAAGTTCGTGTGAAACATGGCAAAGTTTACCAGGGCTCTGTCAGCCAGTTTAACCACTTTTCATTTGAAGCTCGAATAAATGAAACCGTGACCTAATCGAGACGCTATGTGGTTCTGTAGGCGCAAGTCATGGAGTACCTAACGATAAGATACTATTCGCTTATTTCATAAACTGGGATTGCACAGTGGGAATGTTCGTAATATGCCATTAGTGACTAATGGACCTGTTGAGGCGAAATGCAATTTGCATCGTTGAGCGTCAGCGTTATAATCCGAACCTCTGAAGCAAAAATCAGTTTAACATACTATGGCCTTGATGGCAAGAAAGTCGTAAATAGAAAATGGTATAATTAAGTACAGCCATAGGCCATGCCAATTGAAGGAGCTCAAGCTTGTTTCGTTTAAAAAAAAAAAAAAGGTCCTATGTTTAATTGAGGTAGTTATTCTTTTCATACTTCAGAGAGCACACAACCAAGGTTTTTGATTCGCATCACAGGATTCAACTTGATTGAAAATCAACATTAGATTTTAAATTTAAAAAATATAAAAAAAGATTGAAGCTACCAGGGGTCGAACCTGGAATCTCTTGATTCGTAGTCAAGCGCCTTGTCCATTGGGCCATAGCTCCTCTCGATATTAAGAAGACCACCTTCTAATATATATCAGAATTTTATATCTTTACTACTCTAATTGATCATATTTTTAGACACGTATTTTTAAGCCCAAAGCAATCAAAAGTAAAGTGAAAGGAGTCGAAATGATTTTATTCAGATTAAAAATTAAATGCTATGCTATATATCTTTATGTACCGATAAAGCAGTTTGTTTTACATTTATCTTTGTAAATTTCAAGTTCCTGCCAAGAATTTGAGTGAAAGTTGTTTCTTTTTTTTTTAGAAAAAAAAAGGACCTAACACGTTTTAACCTCCTGCGTAGTATGCAAAAGCGGATAGTGTCTCCGTATTTGCCTCTCTACATGCCCTTGATTCTTGATCAAAACACTGTTCCCTCGTTCATTTCCTGACCTCCTGGTTCACGGACACACCTCCTAGCAAAACCATCCTGAGTGGCTATTGTACAGCTGTTACTATGGATGACAACATTTTTTGATAAAAAATTATGACGCTTATAAGCTTCAAATCGCTCGTAGTTTTATTGATTATCAACTTTTGATCGCACTTTCGTTCCATTGTGGTCATTTGGTGCTCCATAACAGCTATCAGCAGCCTAAACTTCCTTACCCCCTTCTTCACTGCTACAATCACCTCACTAAATATTTGTGAAGTGAAGTAATATAAAAAAAAATTGGAGGTGCCCCTATTAGCATGAAATAGTACTAGATGCAAAGGAACATTGTAGTCGAGTGTTGTGCAAGGTGCTTCGCCGCGCAGTGCGGAGCATTCATTCTGGTTTCATCCTGATGTATTCGATTTTTATGAGAACGTTTCAAAACCAATGGTCGTCAGGTCCACGAGCCTATCGTTGCGTAACAAAGGAAAAGTTATACCAGGCAAAGTACAATGTAGCATGGCCGATCAAACAGACCTTTAGTCTCTTCCAGATAAAGTTAGACGCAAACGGCTAGTGCTATTCACTATTGAAGAGAACATTATCTGATAGCAAGAGCAATCAACTATAGAGTAGTTTCAGGGTATACAGATATGGCAATTATAACATTTTTATGCGCACTTGTCCTAATCATCGTGAAAAACGCACTTCACTGCACTTGCGGTTTCGCATTTTAGAGCCTGTACCAAACAAAAATTTGGTGACTGGCGCTTAAGGTACGATTGTCTTACATCTTTCACGTTTGTTGAAAATCCCAAGCTAAGGATCCTTCAATCGCTTTCGGCATTTTTTTTTCGCGTCGTCAGATACCTTGTCCACTCCATAGTGGCTTCCGGTGTTAACCTGTCTGTACACCTCACATCACGTGCACAAAGCTAAAATTCGATCAAGCCCCCCTTTTTCTAACTTTTGCTTCTCCCCTTCCTAATTTTGTCTGCCCTGCTTTTATTCCAGTCATGCCTGTTGCGATATAACTCCATTCACATCAAGATCATAACCTTATTCCCAATCACCAGAGAATATGAACTCATTAAGAGAGCGACTTTGGTCGTTCCACCTCATATACCTGGTTATAATAATAATATTACCCTTTTCCAGCCAAGGTACGTTTGTCTGTCCGCTTGGCTCTATGTGATGCCACCAAAAGCAACTAATCGTCTCTTTTTTTGGCTATGCCACTATAGAGGGCCTGGCACACTCCCAAACAATTAAACGGTTGGCAAGATTAGAACCCATTGTATTGCCAACTCTTATTATTTCACCTCGACAATTCGTCGCTAGGGACATCTCACCTAATCCAAACTACATTCCTCCATTCACCTCTCTCAAACATGACGACAGCTTCCATTTACAATTCCAAGCATACAACTCTTCCATTCTTCTCTCGCTCAGTCCTAATATCGAATTGTTCCATCCTGACGCATCGACGGTGGTGGTGGACTCATCGGGCGAAGAAGTCATTTCCCCACTCCACCATGAAGATTATCGGATATACAAAGGAGAGGTTTTGGATACTTTCAGCACGAGGCAAGAGTTGGGATGGGCTAGAATTATTATTCGGCACGACATCGAGTAAGTGTTGTATCTGAACCAGAGCAGCTGGTGCCTTTACGCTAAATTATTTCTTTAGCCACTCTCACCCTCACCCGCTATTCGAAGGGGCCTTCTCAATAGGACCAGAGATATTCCATATAAAAACGAAGGAATCCTTCAACCTCGCGAAGCGATCATTCGACCCACATGACCCTTCCGATTCCCCCCTAATCATCTACCGAGACTCAGACATGCTGGACATGCACTCGAACGACCATCACCTAACGACAAGAAATAGTAACTCGCCTGCGGAATGTGCCGCTGACGAAACTGCTTTCAACCAAAGGAAGCTCACTGGTAGAAGAATTACGAATACCCTCAAAGAACGAAGCTTGTCCGATTTATATGATCCAACACTTCAATTTTGGTCCAGCCCAAAAAAATATTCCACCATGACGAAACGAGCTGATATTTACCAAGGGTGCCCAAAGTCAAGACTGAGTAAGAAAGCTTTGCTTTTTTTGTTTTGTTTTGCAATGTATCCGGACTCATCATTTACACACATTAGTTAATTACATGGGCGCTGCCGCTGACTGCACCTACACTGCGGCATACCAAGGCATACAAAATGCAAGAATACAAATGATTAATGACTGGAACACCGCTTCCAGTGTCTATGAAAGAACGTTTAATGTGTCATTAGGCATTGTTCAATTCTACATGATGACACCTGTGTGCCCTACAACTGTTTCACGTAATCTTACCTGGAACCAAAACTGCTCATCTTCCTATACCATCAACTCGAGGCTGAGCGACTTTAGCATATGGCGCGGATCAAAAGGCGAAGATGGTGCAGGATTGTGGCATCTCATGACACAGTGCTTGTAAGTTGATAGCAAAAATGTTACCTTAGTTGGATGTGTTTACCTAATACCCGTTAACTTTTTTTTTCTTAGTACCGGAGTTAAGGTCGGGATTGCCTGGTTAAGTCAATTGTGCGAGACGGGCGCTAGCGAGCAGCTTGAATGTAAGATAATCATTGCATGGCATCATGTATAGATTCGTATTCCTATTTAATCGTCCATATAACTAATCCTAAATTGGTTGATGATTCCAGCCGATGGATCCTCTGAATGGGTCTCAGGAACAGGCGTGTCTTCTATCACTTTGGATGAATGGAAAGTTGTAGCTCATGAGGTACGAAAACACTTATCTGCTTTAAATGTATGCAATCAACAGCCTTCTGATCTGGGTTTTGATAATGGGTATAGATTGGACACGGATTTGGTGCAATTCACGATTGCACAGCTCAACTGTGTCCTTGTTCAGGTGATTGCAATTGCTGTCCATTGAGCACAAGCACATGCGATTCCGGAGGAACATACATCATGAACCCTACAAGCAACGTCAGCACCAATAACTTTAGTCCTTGCTCTGTTGCTGACATATGCAGCTCCTTACCTAATATCGGCTATTGTCTACAGGGTATGTATTCCTCTCACGTCAGTTAAATGAACTGGACTGCCAACTTACTGATCCGTCCCCCTTATTTTCTCGTGATCTGACAGTACCTGGAACCAAAAAGGTCGAAAGCTTTGCAATGTGCGGTAACGGTATATTAGAACCTGGAGAAGAATGCGACCCCGGTGGTGTTGATGACGCTTGTTGTTTCGGTGCGACATGTAAGCTGAAGCCTGGGGCTGTTTGCGAGTAAGTCATTGAGCGAGTGAAAGTTTTTTTACGACAGTACCATCCTGTACATTTATGCTAACATACATGTCATTGCAGCGATTACAATCAAGCGTGTTGCAAAAATTGCTCTCTCTCAGCATCGGGTACACTGTGCCGTGCACCTATCTCAACATGTGATCTGCCTGAATACTGTAATGGCACGTCAACTGCATGCCCTACGGATATCCATTTGGACGACGGTACATCGTGTGCAAACGGAACTATGAAGTGTGCGTCCGGAATGTGTACATCTCGGTCCGCGCAATGCGCATTACGTGGCGCTCGTCTCAATATCACTGAAGAGTGTTCTTTCCAACAAGACTCTTGTCAAATAAGCTGCGCAGATCCATCCGATCCCCACAACTGCTTGGCTCTTAGTGGAATGTTTTTAGATGGTACGGATTGCGGACTTGCCGGGAGGTGCCTAAAGGGACAGTGTAAAAGCACAGGTGCATGTAAGTAACATGGAATTGCCCAAACAAAAAAAAAATGATGTTAGAGAATGGTAATAGTACAGGTTTATTGATGTGTGATGACCTTATTTGCAGTAAATACCGCCAAAGCTTGGATTAATCAAAACAAACAAATCGCTATACCGGTCATCACCGTCGGTAGTATCATTATTCTACTCCTTCTTGCTCGCTGTTCATGGTGGCTGCGATCGTATACTCGACGACGAAAGCGACTGACGAAAGAAAAGGACTCACGACCACCATCCATTGTTAGCAACCCGCCTGAAGGAGGAACAGACGGGCCACCAGGGTATGCTGGATTCAGATCATCTCAGTTATCCCGGTTAGAAGTTGGCAACCGGCGCACTGTGGAGACTTTACCTATCGAAAGCCCTTTACCTGTGTATGGTGGCAACCGATCTACTGGTGCATCTAATGAGGAATGGGAGATGCAAGTGACAAGTCACCATTCTCGAAGTAGTTCGGTAGCACCTGTTCCGTCATTGCATAACCAAGATGAAGAATCGTCACAGTCTTCACGGAGTATCAATTTCCGGTCCAGTAATCCCGGTTCGGTGATGACAACCCCGGTTTCTCGTCGCATGCATGCTGTATCCATCGCATCGGCTGATAGCGATACCTATCTGCCACCAAAGCATGATATTGTTAACATCTCGGATCATCCTCAGGATTCGGTTGTGTGATATCCATTAATTTGTGATTTATTCCAATGTATATAGTTTCTATCAGCTCTTTAAAATCTTATTATATAGCATATTCTTTTATTGATTAAAAAAACCACAGAAGATAAATAGTTGAACCTTTATTGTTTCGCACGCTACAAT